ACATAATATAGAATATTTTAGGAGACAGGATCTCTGTTTGCGGAGGACAACCTAAATATCCAAGTAGTTCCTAAATAGATAGCAGTTTAAAAATATTTAGTTCCTAAGCATCCAAGTAGCATCCAAGAAGAAAACAAAGAAGAGTAAATAATTATTACAAAAAGACATAAGTTCTTAAGCAGAAATATTGAAAGTGGCATCACAGCCGGAGAGGCTGAACAAACTCCTCGAAGATGTCGACAGCAAATCTCATCCTGATATTCTCCACAAGTTCTTCAGTTATGCTGTCGTGACTAATGTTTTGGAAATGAAGCTCAATGTACTTCATAGCAAGCGGGCCACTGTCGTCTTCATGTTCGCTTTGAAAGATTTCAGGGAGATGATCAAAGGCGAACTCAGGGGGAACTTGATGATTGCAGAGAACATCTTGGGGGACAAGTGATTTGATGATAAAAGGAAGCAACACAACGAGAGGTTTCATGAGCACGCCCATCTGTTTGTCGGTTTTGGCAGCCACGTTAGGGTCAAGAACACCTATGGTACCCTCTTTCAGATCTATGACAAGCGCAGCCCAGTGGCCCCCAGACAGATGTAAAGGCGCGTACAGAGTGTCGACATCAGAAAACCAAGCCTGTCTCGTGAATCGGCCAGGGACTATACCCCTGACGTAGTCCCATATCTTACTGTTCCACGGCCATTCAGATTTACTTTTGGACTTCTTGAAACGAGAATAGAGTTCGCTAAGGGTAAGCGAAAACCATGAATCAAGTATGGCAGACCTACTATGGACCAAAGTATCCCCAAACCTCCGAGCCAACAGGCTTAGCATGGCATCGATGTGCTGGATTGTATAGAGGACAATAATTAATTTAAGGGACATGATCTTATAAAATGCAGGTATCATTGGTTTACAACGTACCTCTTGGTGGACAGAATGGTGAGGAGTAAGCATATCCTTAAAAAATAATTTGGGGACAACATGTGCATCTAGGACGAACTCCCTGACCATTAATGGAAAATAGTAATTTAATGGTTGGGGAAAAAGAAGTAAGTAATGAATTCAATAAGAAACTGAATTACCTCTGGCGATAAGATTTGAGAGTGGACAAGAAATGTTTCCGAAGATCATCATTTACTAGGACAAACGGGTGCAAAACCTCATCAGTTGATTGGGAAACACTATTGGTCCCTGTGGATTCTTGTCCCTGGACTGGAATAGGGTCACGGAAACGGTGGGGTTTATTCCTTGCCCTTTTGGGAGGGAGGATCGGCTTAGAAGAATCCCCGCCAAGAGAAAAAGATTTTCTCTTTTTCCCAGAGGGACTTTTTTCTGAAATTGCCACACCACCAGTAGCATTCCCCTATAAAAAAAGGTATTTTAGGGAAAGGGACAAACAGAACCACATTTAAAATGCTGAAAATTTATGAGATACCTCTTGATCGTCAACCAGTTGTTCATCAGCACCTCTTGAGGATTTAAAAAGCTCTGGCGGCCATGCTTTGTTTGCCTAGATGAATGGGCACGACAGGTTAGGGACAAGAAATTAGAATTTGCGTTTTAGTTATTACAGAAATAAGTATTATACCTCGTCCATAACTTCATCTTGGTGATCCTCGTCTTCAGACCTTCCTTCACTATCACCACTACTCTCGTCACCCTCTTTGGGTTCATGGTCCCCAGAAACAGACTTATCCTCTAAAACCTCAGTCTCAACATCGTCCCCGGAGACATCAACAGACTTTTCAATTACTTCTTCTCTTCTATCCTCGCACTCAACAACATCAACGTGCTCAGACACACCAACAGACTTATTCTCTATAGCTTCCCTTCTCTCCTCACCAACAAATCCCACGTCCTCAGACACACCAAAAGAATTTCCACCAGCAACCTGTTATAGTTGATTAGAAGAGAGGATCATATCCATGGAAAGACACAAGTATCCACGTTGAAACAGAGACAAACCTGCTCTGTATCTTGATCGTCCTCTGATTCATCAGCCGAACTGATCTCCTCTACATCTTGATGAGGCGTTTGGAAGTCGTTGGGCTAAAAGTAAAGAGAATTAAAAGTAAAAAAGGATTAGAAAAAACAAAAAACTCCACCACATAAGAAAACAAATAATGACTTTAGTTAAACTTACGTTGTGATCTTCAGGAAAATTCTCTTTAACAGACTTTCCAACCAGGACCTGTGTAAAATGGTTTAGGAACCATTTCCAGAAAGAGGTAGACAAAAAAAAAATGTAATATACAAACCTCATCTGCAACTTCTTCGTCCTCGGATTCCTCTGCGTTGTCCTCACTAATGGTTGGCAATGGAGTTTGGAAGTCTTTTGGCTGAATAATATGTAAGAAACAGAGGTTATTCAACGTCAAAACAATAGAGAAGGACCAGAAGCAACAAGGAAACTTACGTTGTGATCAATAGAGAACTTCGAGGAAGAAGGACCAGAAGGAGATGGATGAATAGTAGAAGGACCAGAAGCAACAAGACCAGGAGAAGGTCCAAACGGACCAGACTGAGCAGGACCAGAGGGAGATGCATAAGACTGGTTGAGGTTTTGTAAAACATCAGACACTCCTCCGTACTCAGACCAGGCTTGCCGCTGAAACTCCTCCAAAAGTTGAGAATTACTTTTCCCCTTAGACGGCGATTGAGGAGAACTTGGGGCGGGAGGGTCTATCTGGACATGGGGGGAATCAGAGGTCTCCCCACTAGGGACCTTGTTCATATTTATATTTTCTGGGGGACCATGCGTTTGTCCTTCAGTAACAGCGTTTGTTAATGGGACATCTGTGTGTCCCCCGGACTCCTTGTTTACATTTGCATTATTAGGGGGACCATAGGTTTGTCCCTCAGATGGTTTGTTTTTACCTGGTGAAGCAGCTTCCGGAGGGGGGGTTGTTGGAAACTTCCCACCATGGCGCAGATTGCAAATAATCTCGTCTAAGAGTTCGTCTTTCAATAAAGACTTCTCTACTCCATACATCCGACAAACTTCACCCATCAATTCAACCTTCAATTCCTCTTTCATGTCACGGAACTTCGAATTAACTTCTTCCATGATCAGAGCATGGAGAACATCTTTACCTTCAGTCCCTGCTGGGGGACAAAAGTCTTCATCGACCTTCCCTTTACCTTTTGATGAACCAGATGGACCACACTGGGGAAACTCAGGCATGTCAGAGTTTCTATTTGGACGCCTCACAGGTACCTTCTTGGTCTTGCGAACATTGGGTTCTTTGGGGTTCTCATCAACGACTATCTTTGGCCAAGTACGACACCCACCAATCCAGTCAGCTTGGCAGAACTTGTATCCGCCACCAATAAGGCTTTCCATATAGTCAACCGCTGGGTCAGAGACTTCATCAGGCCAATCGTTGATCGATGGGTGTGGGGGATCATCATTAGACAACAGCGGGGCAATACTTAACTACATTGAATTCAATAATTAATTAGTAAACACTTGGGTACTAGGATAAAAAAATAATAATGTTCACGAGAAGGACAAAAATAATAATTACCCCAGGAATTAGCTCTGTTTCCATTATGTTGGAATTGTGAAAAGTCTTCAACGGAGGCAAAGTAGTGATTGACCCATCAATGATAGTCTGCGTATCATCAGGTTGAAGAAGGTATCTCTCAAAAACTGGGATGGCCTTTAACATCAGCAGTTGGAAGACAAGAGGGAACCCATGGGTTGAAGAGTGAGACTGGTTGAACTTCGCAATTAGGGCAGAGAGACTGTTAACCTTGTGACTGACCTTAACCATTCGCATTGTCAGAAGGAATGATTCTCGTCCCCATGGAAACGCTTCAAACGACTCCAAATGCTGAACCATTTCGACAACTTGAAGAGAAGCTCTCACAGGTTGGGAACTGCAAAGCAATACCCCTTCAACGATCACGATAAGAGCGAGACGAAGCCTTCTCCAGTCATCCATCTTCTCTTTCTTGGGCTTCATCTTGTCTTTCCTCAGCCAGTCAACAATGTCCTTGATGAGGACACCCGGGTGGTCCTCGCCTATGAGAATATTCCAGTACGGATATTTTTTGGTACATTCTCTCTGCGACTTCAATACATCTGCCGGTGAAGAATACGGCCGACAATCCAGACCAGTGAGAATGGCAAATTCTCTTAACGAAAAACGGAATGGCTGACCGGCAAAAATAAACCATAGCTCGTGTTTTTTCCTTGTGTAGACGCCTCTACACAACATCTGATGTACTAATTTGCCGGAAAACGAACATTTGCGGACAGGGAGCTAAAACAGCGGGCCAAAGCATGAGGCGCGGAGATAATTTAACTCTTTCGTCCCTTCTAGGATTTCGACGAGATCGAGCAGATACTCCGGCTTTGAATAAGCATTAATACGTCCGAGAGGAGGATAGCAGTCAGTGGCGTAGAGCATTTTCGGAAGTTTGTCCCTGTTTACTACCGGGGTCTCCGGTCGCGGCTGATATGGAGAATTTGAGTGGGTCGCGGTTGACTTGGCGGAGACAAAAGGGTCGCCGTCGTCTTCAAAGGAAACCGTGCGCCTGGAACTGCCAAGCGGAGACTTTTGTTTCAATTTACTCGAGGAGGACTTCATCTGCGGCGGAGGAGAGAAAACAGGAGAAAAAATTAAGAATTTCTTTGAAAATCGAACAGTGGAAAAGGAGCATGCAGATGGACAGAAACCCTAGAAATTGGGGACGAAACGATTAAATCAAATTAGATGACTACGAACCAATAATTAGATGACTACAAACTAACTTGTGATTAATCAAGTATGAGGGACAAAATCGAGTGTCAGTTACATTCAAAGAATCTGCCGAAAATGGTTTACCGTAACTAACTTCCGATGAGAGGAGAAGGAGAAGAAAGAGAAAGGGAAAGTGAATGAGAGACGAAAGCGGTTACACTTCTCGCAGGGGAGAGAAGTTTGTGGGGTGTAATTTTGCACGGGTCTCGAGGGTTAATAGGGAAACGAGAAGGTGCGAATGTCAACTCGTTGCCAGGCGCAGGCGGGAAAACTGCCATCAACTGTGAGGGCAAAATTGACAATTCACAGAAAAATGTGGTATGAGTTGAAAGATGGAGAAGAATGTGGTAGATCTTGAAACAAATTGGGAAAATGTGGTAGATCTTGTAATTTTTTCTTGTTTTTTATTAATTTAAATATATATAGTTTATGTGCCACGTACGTGACTAATGGATTTGACAATAAGCGAAAAGCGGAAGCACTTGGTCAATTGGTTAATTGTTTAAAGGTTTATACATCAAGGTTTGGGATTCGAATTCCGCGAATCCTAGATAACACAATTTTTCACAGATTGTCGGTGTAAAATTTATCGATAGTTTCAGAGTACTACAGATAGAACCTTTCATTGTGGACTCATATGTTGCGGAGTCAGGAAAACATGTCTACTAGATGTCGTATATTCAGAACAGTTTTTTTTGGATTCGAGTGTTTCGAGGAGAAGTGCACCCATAGCCGTGCCTACTTAGATAATTTGGAAACATTCGCCTACGTCAGCAAATTTTGGTAGAAAATTTAGGAAGCTAAATTTGTTAATAGTGGTTAGTTATCATATACGTATTATTGAATTAATAAAGTTATGAGAGATTAATACAAATAATAAAGGAAAGTAGTATAAGTTGTAATATATAAAATTCCTAAATACAAGGAATTTTAATACTTTTAAGGGGATAATTTAGTGTTGTTAATCTTTCTTTTTTGTATCCGCTAGTTTTGTTTTCTATATATCTCATTAATTCTTTTTTTTTTCTCACTTCTTTACCAACCTCTTGTTTGTTAATCATCTTTATCCAACTTTATTAATTATTTATATATATTAGACTACTTTTTGTATATCAGCATAATTATATTAAATTTTACTATTACCAAAATTATATTTTGTTTTGCAACACCAAATACAAATTGCTAGACTACATATTATGATCAACCTAGTTTTTATAATTTTTGTTTTATAGTATATATTTGTTCTCATTGTGTGATGAATACTTTTGTTGGAACTGTGAATTTTTATAAGTTTTTCTTAATATTTGTAGATTTATTTAAAAAAAAATTAAAAAATTAAATTATATATTATTGATGTATTAAACCATATTTTTCTGCCTATAGTATCAAAATTTCTTGGCACGGCTCTGAGTGCACCATGAAATCGTTGTTTATGGAAGCTGTTCATCGTAATTGCATATATTGTAGATAAAATCGTTATTCGTGGAAGTTGTTTATCGTAATCGAATATGTTATAGAAAATGTAAATCAAATATTTCTAATGATGATGTAAAAGAGGAAAAAAAAAAGTTTCCTTGTAGAGTTTTGTTTTATCCGTTCAAATTTGGAATAAAGAAAAACAAGAAAATGAATTCTCATAACAAGAACAAGCAGTCTATAATTTACATAAAATAATAATAAAAAAAAAATATTTTAAAGATGAGATTCTTGTAAGAGACTAGCGTGCAAGAGGGGTTACTTCGGTTCCGAAATTTATAGTCAAGTCTGAGTTCTTTGAGTCATCATCATCTTGATGAATTTGTCCTGTTCTTGATTTCTCAGAGATCAAGCACTCTTTAAGTATATTAACTACTTTGGACATGGTTGGTCTATCTGATGAAGAGTGGCTTACGCATGACATGGCTAGTTCAAGAATTCTCCAGATTGTGTTTGAGTCGTAATCTCCATTAAGGTTTAGGTCGACGATTTTTTCAATGTCTCCTCTGCTATATGAGCTTTTTCTCGATCGGGTTAGCTCAATCACTGATCGGTTTGTGATTATTTCGATGAGTACTATGCCAAAACTATAGACATCGCTCTTCCCGTTTAACCAATTTGTTAGGTAATATCTACAAAAAAAAGTTAATTTTATGGGACTTAATGAAGGAAAAACAAATTGAAGTTTTACATTAGTGGTCTGATTGCTCGAGTAATTACCCGATACACTTAACCGCAAGGTAGTATATACGGGGTCGATCCACAAGAACCAATGGTACACTAAAGATTTCCGAGACTCGTTCTTACCTAAAGCTAAAAGATTGTTTTGTTTTGGGTTTTCGGAATTGTAAATAAAAATGCAATTAAAATAGACGATTTAACTTCAAGATTTAAAGACATTGGGCGTTAGGGTATTTCAGATATCAACGAATAATGGAAACATGAAACCAGGAATTCAGTAATTAAGAACCGTTCTCGAATATGAACACATTTAAACCAATTCTCTTTCAAGACATTAATCACTAAATTTGACTATTCGATTACTAAACTTTCGCATGCAATTTCCTAGTCAAATTCGCATTACCAAACAAGTTCATTAAGTTCACAATGCGTCATAACGTCAACTTTCGTTGGCTAGAAATACATTGCTCAATCCACATTCTTTCAGGCATTCTATCGAACACTTTTGATGCATAGAAAAACCTAGAATCTACAACAGGGTGATCAATCCTATTCTAGCATTAAGAACATGTGAATCAAAGAACCTAGAGAATGAGAATTTCTAACACAATCAATCCATTAATCCATTGAATCTCCTAATTGGAACCCTAAAACCCAATTGGAGAACTACTCACACATAGAGAAAGAGAAAAGGCAAATAGATATGAAAGAAAACATGATTCAATAAAATAGAAAAGGAATAGGGTTTAGAAATCTTCTCCAAGTGTCAAGAGGATGGATTCCTTTGCCCAAAGTTGTTTACAAACCAAAGAACAAAGTTTAGAACTCA